AGGAGTGTCTGAGGTTGCCAGCAGCACATGTGGTCCCTGGACATTGTGCAGTGACCCCGGGCAGGGTGCAGTGTCCCCCTGCCATGTGCAGTGACCCCGGGCACTCTGGAGGGTCCCTGGCTTTATGCAAGGTCCCCTGGGCAGCGTGCAGGGTCCCCAGCAGTGTCCTGGGCTCCCAGGGCGTGTGCAGGGTCCCCAGGAAGGTGTAGGGGCCCTCAGCAGTGTGCAGGGTCCCTGGCATCAGGCTGGGCCCCTGGGCAGTGTGCAGTGTCCCCCAGCAGCGTGTGAAGTCCCCAAGGGTTGTGCAGTGTCCCCAAGGATTGTGTGGTGTCCCCAAGGATTGTGCAGTGTCCCCAGGGCACCCCAGCCTCACCCCCTCTGCCTCTGCCCCCTCCATCCTCAGCCCACATCGGGGTGACAGCACTGCCAAGCCCTGGGCCCCTCCTGTGCTGTGTCCCCCCCAGCACACAGGGACACCCCACCTGCCACGTCCTACTCGGTGCCAGCTCCTTCCCACCCACCTGGGATGGGGCAGTGGGGCAGCAGGAGCTGTGGCACTTGCTGGGTCACCCAGCTCTGTTTGGGGTCTCCCAGGGGGACAGGGACACCCAGCTGGGGACCAGGAGGTGCCTGGGGAAGGGCCACGGCTTCCCATGTCTGCAGTGAAAAAATGGAGTGAAATATCCCCAAATCAAGGGTAGGAGGGACCTGGGGATGGGTCAGTGACGGGACAGGAGGGACCTGGGGATGGAGGACAGGAGGGGGAGGCTCAGCCAATTCACATGATTTGCAGAGGGGTTTAGGGGTGCAGGGAGGTGGGCGCTGGGTTCATGCCCCGGGGAGACCTTGGAGGCAGCCCCAGAGCCTCGGGAAAGGCAGGAAAAATGAGAAATGTTGGGAAGTGGAGATGCAGGAAAGGGTTTGAGAAGCAGGGGGGCTGTGGGTTGGGGGTTCAGGTGCACAGGGAGACTCAGGACACTCTTGACTCCAGGGAGCTCAACATGCCAGGGCTGGGGTGTGAATATGTGTGAGCACACACAGACACATGTGAGCACACACAGACACACGTGTGAGCACACGCAGACACACGTGAGCACACACAGACATACGTGTGAGCACACACAGACACATGTTAACACACACAGACACACGTGAGCACACACAGACACACGTGTGAGCACACACAGACATGTGAGCACACACAGACACACATGAGTACACACAGACACACGTGAGCACACACAGACACACAGGTGTGAGCACACAGAGATGTGTGCACACATAGACACTGCACACACAGACACACATGTGAGCACACAGACACACATGAGCACACATAGATACACATGTGCACACACTCCCTGGAGCAGTGTTCCTTGTCCTTCCCTTCCCAGCAGTGTCACCCATGGGTGCAGCACCTCCCCGCTCTGGGGGCCTCCACAGCCCCATCACAGCCAGTGACACAGGGGCATCCCACAGCCCCCACACCCCCATTCCCACGTGTCCCGTGTCCCACCACGATATTCCCCCTTCCCCATCCTGCTGCCGCTGCCTCCCCGGGGTGCAGGACCCCCGGGCGGGGCAGGAGTGGCCGCAGACCCCGGGGGACCCCGCGGGGTTTGGGGTGAAGGCGCTGCAGCCCAGCACGACTTTATTCCGGATCGCTTCGTCCATACAAAACTACACCCCAAGCACTGTACAGCGGGACGGGGGGCGGGGGGCAGTAAAAATAAGCAGCGGGGGCCGGGGGGACAGAGCGGCAGGCGGGGGGTGGCGCGGGGGGGGCACGGCGGGGGGGGCTGCTCCCCACCCCGTGCAGCGGCATTGTCTGTGGGGGGAGCGCTGGGGGCCGAAGTGTCCGTCCACGGCGAGGGACCGAGGGGTGCACGACCCCCCTGGGGGTCCCCGCGCGCCCCCGCCCCGGCCGGGCACCTCGATTTGGTGGGAAGCTGCGTGGCCGGTGCCCGTCCCCGTCCCGGGGGGTGTCAGTCCGCGGCGGGGGGGAACCCCTAATCCCCGGGGGGCATGATCCCGGGCGGGGGCAGCGGGGGCGGCCCCGCCTCGGCCCCGTGGACCCGCTGGTGGTCCTTGAGGGATTCCTTGTAGCGGAAGCTGCGGCCGCAGGCCGGGCACTGGTACGGGCGCTCCCCGGTGTGGATGCGCTGGTGCTTGAGCAGGTTCTGCTTGCGGATGAAGCTCTTGCCGCACTGGGCGCAGGCGAAGGGGCGCTCCCCGGTGTGCAGCCGCTGGTGGTTCTGCAGGTGCTCCTTGCGGCTGTAGCACTTGCCGCACTCGGAGCACTTGTAGGGCCGCTCCCCGCGGTGGATCATCTGGTGCCGCACCAGCCCCGAGTGGCAATTGAAGCTCTTGCCGCACTCGGCGCAGGGGTAGGGCCGCTCGGCCGCGTGGCTGCGCTGGTGGATCCGCAGGCTCTTCTTCCCGCTGAAGCTCTTCCCGCACTCGGCACAGCCGTGCGGGCGCTCCTCGGCGGGTCCCGGCGGCGCCGCGGGGACCGCCCCGCTCTCGGCGCCCGGGCCCGGCTCGGGGCCCGGAGCTTTGCCCAGTCTGTGCTGCGCCGGCAGAGCCACGGCCGCTGGCACCGCCGCCTGTCCCTCGGGGGTCCCGAAGCCCGTGCCGGGGAAGAGCAGCTCCCCGGAGCCGCCCGGCAAACCCACCTCCTCGGGGGGCTCGGCGTGGGGGCACCGCTCCTCCGTCTTCACCAGCAGCCCCTCGCCGGCTGCAGAGGACGGGAAACTGGTCAGTGCCCGCCCAAGTCACAGCCCAGCCTGGCGGGCGGTGCCCCCCCCCTGCCCCAGCCCCACTCCAGCCCCATGTGGGGGGATCGCTCACCAGGACCGGGACCCGGGGGCAGCATCTCCCTGTCCGGCAGCTCCCAGGGCTCACGGACACAGGGCTCCTCCTCCTGCTTGATCCACGACAAGAAGTCGTGCGCGGTGATCAGGGCGTCCGCGCCTGCAGGAACGGGGATTTAGCCACGCTGGGCCACATCCTGCTCCAGGAGGATGGGGAGGGAACAGCTCCAATGGGCAGCAGGGCCAGGATGGCTCAGCCCCGGACTCACCTGCACAGGGGTCCGGGGGCATCCCCCGCTCCTCCGGGAACTGCTGCTCCCCCACAAAGGCCACCTCCTGCTTGATCCGGGACAGGATGTCGGAGGTGGAGATCAGCGACTCTGTTCACAGGGAGAGACTTGTCCAGGGCCAGGATGTGGCCACACGGTGTGACCCACGGTCACTAAGGGTGTGGGACCCCTGGGCTCCAGCTGAGTGGAACTTCCCCGTCCCACAGCAGTTATGGGGTATCAAACACGCCCGGGAGCTGTGGGGACAGGTGACTGGGGGACAGTCCTTAGGGATGGGTAACTGTGGGACAGTCCTTGGGGATGGGTGACCCTGAGATGTCCCATGGGGATGGGAGACCCTGAGATAGCCCTTGGGGATAAGTGACTGTGCACAACCCCCGGGAACAGATGACTCTGGCACAGCCCATTGGGAACAGATGACTGTGGCACAGACCACTGGAGACAGGTGAAAACCACAGGGCCAGTGGGGCTGGGTGACTGTGGGTGGCTGTGACACAGCCCACAGGCTCTGACACAACGTGGTGGCAGTGGGGGACACGTGGATCTCCTAGTGATGGATATCCGAGACTCCCGGTGCATCAGTCATTGGGATGTTCTGGGGTCACAGCTGGGAAACTGGGCCCAGCGGGGACAGGACCACTGGGGAAGGAGGAGAGACATCCCTGGGGTGGGCAGGGTGGGGGAACAGGAGGTGGGGGACAGTGGGCTCCTCCTGCCACGCCTCACCTGCGCAGGTGTCCGGCGGCAGCTCCCGCTGCTCCAGCTCCCGCTGCTCGGGGACACAGGGCCCTTCCCCGCGCTCACTGCGGGGCTGAGCCTCACTCCTGGAGAGGGCACCGTCTGTGGGGACACAGCGCTGATGGCACCGGGGCTGTGCCCGGCACACCCTCTCTGTCACCCACACATAGGGGGACACACAGGGGACACGCAGGGGACACACCTGGCTGCCAGGCCCCGGCGTCCCTCCTGGCACAGAACCCTCCTAAACCCCACAGGACCTCCATGTTGGAGGCTCAAGCCCACGGTTCTGGGGGACAAGGACCCTCTACAGCCCCCTGGGGTGGCAGGGGCTGCCCCCCATGGCATGGCATGTCACCCTGCCCCCACACAAGCCGTGGAGTGTTCCCTCCAAAATGGGTGGTCCCAGGGACACAGCGAGTGCCACCACCCACATTGGGGACCCTGCAGGGAGACGTAGCCTGTCAGAAAAGCAGGAAAAGGGAATGTTTACCCAGGGAGAGCAAAGCCTCGTAGTTCTCCTTCACCAGGTTGTTGTACAGCTCCTTCTGCCACTCCTCCAGGTTCTTCCACTCCTCCGCCGAGAAGTAGACGGCGATGTCAACAAACGTCACCGGCACCTGCAGGGACACGTCCCCACGGCTCAGTGCTGCCTGCTCCCCAGGGAAACTGAGGGTGCCCCCTCTCCTGCAGCCCCCTGGGAGCTCTTACCTTGGGGACCTCGCCCCGGGGGCCGGGGGGCAGCCGCAGCACCCAGAAATTCCTGTTCTTCAGGAGGTTCTCCACGTTCTCCAGGCGCCTCTGGAGCAGCCCGTACTCCTGGATGAGGGTGCCCAGCACGGCCCACTTGCTCTCCAGCTGGTTCCCGAACTCCATGGCCGTCTTCTCGCAGTCCAGGAGCTTCTTCTCGGCCGTGCCGGAGCGGCCCTCCAGGCTGAGCAGGCGGGTGGCCAGGAGGTCGATCTTCCTCTCCATGGCCTGCACCGTGGCCACCACGGTCCAGAGCGAGGCCTCTGCCGAGTGCAGCTGCGCCTCCCGCACGTGCGCCCGCTCCGGCAGCAGCGGCGGCTGCAGCGGCATCAGGTGAGGGGCCTCCATGTTCCACTCCTGCACCTGCGCCGTGGGGAGGGCACGAGTGGGACGAGGCCCACGGTCATTCCATCCAAGCCCCTGTTCCCCAGTTCTAGGGCTTTCAGCCACCAGCACCCCCAGAACCACATCAGGGACCCCCCCATGTGCGATGCCCACCGGCCTGAGGGGATGGTGAGTGGCTGACCAGGGCAGCCACGAGGCCACTGTCCCCGCAGGACACCAGCCAGGTGAATCCTCACCCTGTCATCCCAGATCTCCATCCTGTGGGAGCCATTCCTGGGCCTGCCCAGGATGGAACCCCAGCGGGGGAGGAGGATGGAGATGGGAGGGCAGGGAGTAGCCAGGGGCAGGTGTGGAGCAGGGGTGCCCAGGGATACCTGGGGATACACAGGGACATGCCAGGACAGGAGTGCCTGGGGCATCCCCGGGGCTGGAGCCTGCACGGAGCATCCTGGGGCACCCGGGGGCATCCCGGGGGCACGGGGACATCCGGGGCAGAGGTGCCTGGGGACACGCTGGGAGCACACGGGCATCCCGGGTCAGCGGTGCCCAGGGCACCCCGGGGGCACCGAGGCCATCGCGGGTCGGGTCCCTGAGGACATCCCGGGGCTGGAGCCTGCACGGAGCATCCCGGGGCACCCCGTGGGCACACGGACATCCCGGGTCAGCGGTAGCCGGGCCATGCCGGGGTCTCACGATCATCCCGGGTCAGGGGTGCTCAGTCACGTCCCGGGGGCACGGGGACCACCCCGGCTCGTGTCCCCCGGGGGTCGCGGGGGCCCCGCGGGTCGGGGGGTGCCGGAGGGTCCCGGCCGAGCCGGGCCGGGCCGGGCGGCGGCGGGAGCGGGGCGGGCGGGGCGGCTCCGCCCGGTGTCCGGTGCTCGGTGCCGGTGCCCGGTGCCGGTGCCCGCAGCCGGGGGCCGGTGCCCCGAGCCGCGCTTACCTGGGCGGGCGCCCACTCGGCCATGGCCCCGAGGAGCTGGGCCGGGCCCGGCGGCCGCGGCCGGGGCTGGGATTGGGGCCGGGGCCGGGGCCGGGCGGCGGCGGCGGCGGGGAGAGCGCGGAGCGGGGCCGGGGCCGGGCGCGGGGCCGGGGCCGCTGTCGGTGCCTGCGCACGGGCCGGGCCCCGCCGCCCCGCCGAGCAGCCACGGGCAGCCGGGGAATCGCATCCGCCTCCTCCGGGCTGGGCGGCAGCGGGCGGGGAGCGGCGGGAGCGCGGAGCGCGGAGCAGTGCCGCCTACCGGCACCGGCAGCGGCTCCGCCACCGGCAGCGGCACCGGCACTGCCACCACCGACCAGCACCGGGATCCGCTCCATCGCTGGGATCGGGAGCAGCTCTGCCGCCGGGAGCGGCTCCGGGATCAGCACTGGTAGTGCCACCGCGCACTGGGATCGGCATCAGCTCTGCCACCGGCATCGGCCCTGCCACTGGCACCGGCGCTGCCACCACCATCACCAGTACCAGCTCTGGCACTGGCACTGCCACCAGTACTCGGGCACCCACACCGGCACTGGCACTGGATCTGGCTCCGGCGTCAACCACAGCCACCACTACTGGCACTGGCAGCGGCATCACACGGGCACAGGCATGGGCACCAGTGTCGGCAGCAGCATCGGTGGCTCTGGCAGCGATTCAGGTTCAGATGGCAACACCCCAGAAATGAGTCTGGGGTCACTTCGGGGGTCTTGCATGTTTTATGACCCTTCTAAGATGTGACCAACGTAGTTGGGCCAGTTGTGCCCCATCAGAAGGGATGGAAACCTTCAGCCCTACCTGGGAATGTCCCCCCTGGCAGGGGAGTGTTCCACCTGAGCCAGGGGTGTGAGGGAGGACATGGGCAGGACAAAACCCATTATCCCAGCTGGTTCTGCTGCTTTTCAGCCTTCCCCCTCACCTGGCTCAAACGCAGCTCGTTTCTAAACAAAGGTCACCCTGGACTCTCCTTATGTGGATCAGAGTTTCACCACCACATATCCAAAAGACCTCCTCCTCCCCTTTGTCTGGGGGAAAACCTGGGCTCAACAAAGAACCTGCTGCTTTTGTTTGAGTCCTTAGCCTTCAACACTCACAGCTGCTTGGGGCTTTGGTGATCCCAAAGCCCAGAGTACAGAATCATGTCCCCAAATGGCATATCTACACTTCGTAAATCCCCCCAGGGATGGGGACTCCACCACAACCCTGGGCAGCCTGTGCCAGGGCTGGACAACCCTTTCCAGGATGAAATTTTCCCAATATCCAACCTAAACCTCCTTTGGGGCCAAGTGCATTCCCCCAATCCCCTCCAGGACTTACAAAACTCCACCACAGCACCAGCTCTTTGCTGCTCCTCAGGGGCAGCTGAGCCCATGGACTTCACCCCAAGAGGAGTCCACGGCTGAGCACATCCCTCCAACCGGGAGGAACGCATTTTCCCTCTTGGCACTTCACTGGAATAAGCAAAAGTGATGAAAACCACCAGCCCATGGGGAGAAAACACGTGACAGGACCCCCCTTCTCTCTGCTCGCCTTCTCCCTGCTGCTTTTTCCACTTTCCAAAGGAACATCACCAACACACTGCACACACATTAAGAATATATCCATGTTTTTTTTCCCATAATCTCAGGAATCACAGCAGCATCTCACCCCACAGGAAATACATGGGGTCATTATAAAAATAGAAACCCAAAACCAGAGTTACTTCGTTTTTCATCCCTCGAAACTTCCAGTGTTTCTCTCTTACTCTGAGTGCTCTCCAGCATGTGCTCTTTGGTGCACCAGGTTTTTTTTGATGCCACTTTGGGTACAGCCAACGCTGCCCTATCCCAGCTCCCGCTCCCAGGAAGGGATGGAGAGGGCACGACAGGAATTATCCAGCCACTAATTAAAATCGGGTCCTAATCAATGATTATTAGACTGGCACCAAGCAGATGCCTTTTGAACTTGATTAAATTTAGGCAAAGTGCCTTATCCCAAAAGCTTCCCCGCAATCCACACAGGGCTACAAACCATCCCCTCTGGACTGAGGGGGGATTTTCAACACCTGAAGGGAAAAACCTATCCTACGAAATCCTTTGGCACGTGGATTATATTAAAATGCGTTCTCAGGTGGTTAGTGAGCTTGAGCTTTTCCAGGAAGCTCTTGCCACACTCCAGGCAGGTGTGGGGCCTCTCCCCCGTGTGGATCTTGTGGTGCCGGAGCAGGTAGGCGTGCCGGGCGAAGCTCTTGCCGCACTCGGCGCAGATGAACCACGGCACCTGGGCCGCCTTGGGATGGGTCTGCTGCTCACAGAGGGACTGTTTGGATTCACCGGCTCGTCCTTCCGCAGGGGAGCTGCTGCCTCCTCCGTTCCCCACGGGATTTGCCTTGTCTGGGGAATTCTGGTGGTTCTCCGACGCCTCCCCCTTGCCCGGAACGTTCCAGGGCAGGTTTTGGGATCCTCTTGAGGATGATCCATGAACTTGTGTGTCTTCTGCGCTCTGCTGCTGGGATCTGATCATGGCACCACCACAGCCTGGAACAGCAACATTCCCAACGTTCCCTTTATCTCATTCCCTTTATCTCCAAATCTCCAAAGAGAAACAATTCCCAATTTTTGCACCTGTGCAAAAGCCCACGTGTTGGATAAGAAAAAAGCAGGGGTGGGCTGCAATCCCCCCTCCCTCCAATCCTACCAGGCTCCAGGTGTTGCCAGTTAATTCCCAACGAGTCTCACACCTGTGCTGAGGCTGGCAGGAATCTTCCTTCCCTCCAAATCCTGCTGAGCCTTGACCTGCACCGCTCCTCCCACCGGGACTTTGCTTTTGGGAACAGGATAATCTGAACAAGCAACAGAAAGAACGTGGAAATGATTGTTAATATTATTTTCCTCTGACTGTTTTCCTGCATAACTCACTGTCTGACAGGCATCTCTGTTATTCCAGGGAAAATCCAACCGGGAGGGAACAGCCAATGCAGCTGCTCCGGTGTCCAAAAGAGTAGTGGGATGAAGGTGAGCAGGGATGGAGAGGGAAAACTGACCTTTTCCAGACACGGCTAAAGATCCATAATTCTCCTTTAGGATTGTCTTGTAAAATTCATTCTGCCAGTCCTCCAAAGTTGGCCCCCTAGCACTATAGAGAAAATTCCCAGTGACCTAAAAGCCAAAATGTTCAACAGTCAGTGCTGCTGGGGAGTCGTAAATCCCTAAGAACCCTCTTTTTCCGGTGGTTCTTAACTGGTGGTCACCACCCAACTGCTCCCAGCAGTGTCTGTGTGTGTGCAACCAGCACAGTAATAATGGATTTTATATTAGGAATTTTCTACTGTTATTTCAGAATGAGTGAAATGCCTCAAAAATGGCGTGGCTCAGCCAAAACAATGATTTTTTTCAAACAACTGGGTCAAAAATATCCAGGGTCAGCATCCATACCCAGCTCCCTCAGGGAACGTGGCTCTTCCTAAATAATTCAGTGATTTAAATAAGCCCAGAGGCAGTTCCAGACTGGCTGGAAAAGCTCCTCCCGAATAATAAAAGCTTATTATTAGGGAATAATAATAATATAATAATTAATTAAGCCCCCCTAAGGATATTTTTCCAAGCGGCTCCCAAGGCTCCACACACAAACCCTTCCTTTAATTCCCTTTATTCCCAGCACCAACCCCAATTACCCTCCAGCGCTTGGGACTCCGGATTCGCTTCCGAGTTCTGTTCCCCATCCCGTCGCAGAAGCCCTGGGGTGTCCCCACGAGCCAGTTCCCATCCTGGCCCAGGATGAATTTGTTGGGAACAGCCCCCTTCAGCAGCCTCCTGTTCCTGCGCACATTCAGGGGGTCCCTCTCGAAGGAGCTCTCCTCGAAGTGATCCGAGCACAGGCGCTGGTACTTGGAGGGGGTCCCCATGTCCCTGCCCATGTTGTGGATCCACTGCCGCAGGAGGGCTTCGTTTTGCAGGGGGAACCCATAAAAAGTCACGGAGCTGTTCTTGTAGGTGCCGCTGGTGGCGTTCTGGCAGTTCAGGGCAGCGCAATAAACCATCGCCAGGGGAGCTGAGCCCGAGAGAGACACACCAGGAGGGGCATCTGGAGAGTTCCTGCTCAACTTCAGGGCTAAACAGGCCTAAATTTGCCTGAAAAAAACATGGTGTTGGCCCAGAGGAAGAGCTGAGGTGAGCCAGGGGAAACGTGGCACTGAATTCCCAGGGACAGTTTCCAGGGGCACGGAGCTCCCCACTGGAAGGAGCCAAGTCCTTCCCAGCTGCTCCAACTCAACAATCTGAAAGGTAAAAACGCTTCAAAATCAGCATAATGCTCCATGAATACGCAGATTTACATTTAAATAACCCCTGTGATGTGCACACAGACGTGCTTCCTTGATCTGTGTATCCATGGGGGATCCTCCCACACTCCAAAGGTTATCCACAACTCAGAAAAGGGCTGAGAGACAAGTAATTAAACAAAAATAAAAGGTTTGGAGTGTACCAAGGGCTCCCCCATCGTGTCAGAGATGAGGACGTTTAAATAGGAGCACTGAAACGGGGAGAAAACCATCCAGGGATCTTGTTGGATCTTGCTCCAAAGAGCAGGGGAGATCCCAAGGTTTGTAGATCAGAAAGGAAGAAGGATCAGAGGGTAAAAAAAGCTCCCAGAATCTGATCAGTAAATTATGCACTCAGCATGGGAATTGGTATTTTTGCCTTTATTTTCTAGTGGTGAGAGAAATAAAAGAGTAAAAAAAAAACAAAAAACAAATGGAGATATCCACAACTGGATGGACCTTTGGTCCTGCACTGACTCTGACTTTGTGTTCATCTCCATTCACCACAGCAGGGAAGTGGCCCCAGAAAGGTGCTCCCCACCCCCGTGTGCCCCCTTTCTCCAACCACATCCCCTCCCCAGGTGCTTCCCATCGGAGCTGGGACACCATGGACTCCTTGGTGGCCACGTGTCAGCATAGGAAGGGCAAGGATATGTTGGGGAGAGTCCAGAGAAGATCACAGATGAGGAGGGGGATGAGGCCCCTCTGCTCTGGAGCCAGGCTGGGACAGCTGGGGGGGTTCACCTGGAGAAGAGAAGGATCCAGGGAGACCTGAGAGCCCCTGGCAGGGCCTAAAGGGGCTCCAGGAGAGCTGGAGAGGGACTGGGGACAAGGCCTGGAGGGACAGGACACAGGGCTGTAGTGGGGAGGCAGGACAAGGCCCCGAGCGCCGCGGGACCCTCGCTCACCCCGCGCCGCCATCGCCGCCTTCTTCCTCCTCCTCCTCAGCCGCGCCAAGCCGCGGCAGCCAATCAGCGGTGGCGCCAGGCGGCAATAACCAATCAGAAGCCAGTCCTCGCCGCTGCCTCCCACGCCATTGGCCCGCCACCTTCCCGGCTCCGTCCCCCACGACCTCCGGGAGGAGGGGGGGAAGTTGTGCATCGCCATTGGCCAGCGTGCGGGGCAGCGGGGGCGCTGATTGGACCAGACGGGGAAGGGGGCGGGGAGTGGGAGCGGCGTCCTCTCGTTGTCATGGCAACGGCTCGGCGGGACCGAGCGCGGCTCCCAAGTACCGGGACCCGTCCCCGAGTACCGGGACCCCTCCCCGAGCCCCGGGACCCCTCCCCGAGCCCCCGAGCCCCGGGCCCCCCCTCAGCCCCAGGGCCGCTCCCGAGGCGGAGGCGCAGCCCCGCGACCCTCAGCATCGTCGGGGGCGGGATGTGGCCGGAGCCCCGGGACCCCTCCCCGAGCACCGGCGGCGGGACTGGGGATGCGCCGTCCCGGGTCCCGGCCCGGGGTGGGAGCCCCCCCCGCCTGGAGCGCAGGCGAACCCCCGCCTCTTCCCAAAGATGCCCTGAAATACGGGATTTGGGGAGCGGCAGCCGCCTCAGAGTTCCTCCTCCGGCTGGCAGCCTCGCCCCTCCCTTCCCCTCCCGCAGTGGAACCACTGGTGGCATTTAACAATTTTAATTAAACCCCCCTGAAATTTCCAGCCAACAACAAAAAAAACACCAATCCTGGCACAACTTAAGCAGAAACAAGAACGTAAAAAAAGGCCCTTCATGAAAGTTTCCTTAAAGGAAAAGGGAAGGAGCCCCGACCCCAAACTGGCTCTGCCCCGACTCAGCCGCTGCTGCTCCTCCATTATTCACCGCCAAGGTGACAAATCCAGACTCTTATCAGTAAAAGGAATAAATCGTGTCCTTGCAAAAGACCCGATCCCCTAAGAGACCCTGACCAGGAGCAAAACCAGCCTCTGCAGGAGGATGTTTAAGGAGCAGCTGTCAACTCCCGCTCCGGAGAGCAGGGGAGCTCCCAGAGTGTGCAGATGCCCGGGAACCAAAAGCAACGACAAACGCCAGAGGGTCCCAAAAGAGCTCAGGAGGTTTGATTAGTAAATCACACACTGGGTAAGAAATGGGGATGAGTTAGTCCCGTATCTTTTAGTAGTAAGAGAAATAAAAGAGTAGAAGAAAGGAAGAAAAAGGAGAAGTCAGGGAAGATCACCAGTCCGATTCCACCGTCGATCTCTGTGTCCAAGGTGTCCAGGGTCCTGGCGATGCCACCCGGCCGCCGTGGGGGCACCTTTTTATGGGTAAGTTTTCCCCGCCCCGGGATCAGATTTCCCACTTCCCATGCAAATCAGGGAGTGTGCGCGATTCCTCCTCCCGGACCCTTCTGGAAATGGGTCGGGGCGGGGGGGTTTTGGTGGTCCTAATCCCTCCGTGCCGAGCTCCCCACGCCGCCCTTGCGCGGGGTTTGTTGTGTCTCCGGGCCCGGAGGAGGAGATTGGCCTCGGGAACAGCGCTGCCCTATCTCCCGTGCCCCCCTTCCCAGCCACATCCTGTTCTCTGCTGCTCCTTATCGGTGTTGGGGACACAGCAGAGCCTTAACTCCTTGGGGCCCGGGCTGCTGCAGTTGCACCGCTTACAGAGCTCATCGTGTGCCCTGGAGAACGGGGTGGAAACTCGCCGATCCCGAAATCCGGGGAAAGATGGTGATCCCCCTGGATCTCCTGGAGCTCGAGGTGGAGGACACCAAAAGCGACCCCATCCCATCGGATCCTGGTGGCTGATTTGCAAGGGCATCCCGGGCACTGCCGAGGGGAACAATCGAGAGCCCGGGAAATGCCGGCCTTTCCATAACAAAGGGCACAGGGAGGGACATTCCGGGACACAGCAGGAGCTGATCGTCCCTGATTGTCATCTAAGACTGCGAGGGCATAAAAGCCCGGGGTGGGGGGGCCCTTTGTTTGGGGTCCATCCCCGGAGGCACCAGCTCCAGCTGTTACTGCGTTGTGGCATCAGGATTAAGTTATTTTAAGGAATTATTTTAAGGATCCATGTGTCCAGGATGCTATGGAAAACCTGGCTGGACTGTGTGAGTGGGATGTGGAGTCAAGCAGGATCCATGGGCTCCCTGGAGCTGGTCCCAGCTCAGGTGGCGGGAATGGGACTTCCAGAGTGGCTCCTGGATGGTCAGACAGGGAAGTTTCCTTAACAGCCACGAGCCAGGAGAGACTGAAATCCAGCAAGTGGAGTCTTATCCATGGCCTAGGCATTCAGATTCCAGATGGTTCTCATCACCAATTAATAAAATTTCTAATAGACATGGAAGCACAACATCCGATATTAGCAGTGGGATGCTGGTGTAGGATCTGGAGGGCAAGGAGTTAAAATCCCTGGAGCAAATGCTCCAGGTGCCAAACTGCTCAGCTTAATTTATGGGTGAGAAGCAGGAATCGGCCAACCTTAAACCTGAAAGAATTCCAGAGGCTACAACGCACTGACTCCATGCAGCACCTGCACTCCCTGATTCCAAAATTATTAATGTAGCACAACAACAAATCCCTGCTGTGCCTGGAAAGGGAATTTCTGGAGTTGCAGATGATCTGGCCCCCCTTGGAGCTGCGGGTCCCAGAATTGCTGGGCAGTGCCTGGGGTGCAGCAGCCCAGGCACCAGGGAGTTACTGTGCTGCTGTGTCCCAAACACGGATAACAAGGGACAAACTGAAACAGGGTGTGGCTGCAGAGGGGGGCCCTCCGATATTTTTGGCCCCTCTGATATTTCTTCAGCATCATCTCTACCTTTTTTTTGTTTTCAATTTTGAGTTGTTTTTTTTTTCTTCTTTCCCTGTAATCCTTTCTGCAGCTGCTCAGTTTTCACTGACAGCAATAAATTGTCTGTTTTCCTCCCTTCTGTTTCCTCTCTCAGTTCTTGTTTCTCTCTACTGTGCTTTTTCCTGTCTAAATTCTCCAACAATTCTCTTTCCCTGCACTCTGCTGCAGCAAGTGAGAGTCCCAAGCTGGTCATTTTTCAGACCTAAGTTTCTCATCTTGGATTGTGTGGAAGGCAGGAGATAAGGGGCCAGCGTGTGTGCCTCAAACATCGACAGCCAGGAGCCAGCCAAGGACTGGGCTGTGAGAACACTGTGCAGGGAGGGATGGGATGTGCCTGGGAAAAGGGGGCACAGGGAGGTGGGGCAGCACTTCTCTGGGACAAACACCCTTGTTCTGGCTCCTGGAGATGACATGGAACAGTGCAGGCACAGGAGTGGGGTCAAGGAGCAGGCACGGAGTGCCAGCCAAAGGTGGATCAGTTTGGATGGGGTCAAGACCCTCGAAGTCCCCCTGACTTATTTCCAGGAGGATCCAGGGGAATGGACTGTGCTGGCTCACTCATTTCCATGAGAATTGGGAAAACAAGCCCCAGGGTGGGGAAAACTTGGCTATAAAAAAGGATGACACAGGGTTTGGGGGCACCCCTGGGATCCTGAGCATGGTGTCAGCCAGATCCATGCTGCAGCCATGACTGGTGATCTCCTTCCCTCTCCTCTCTGATTTCCCTCTCTCTTCCCTCTTTTCGTCTATTAGAAGGTAAGGAAAAAAAAAAAAAAAAAAAAAGCAATTCCCACGCTGAGCATGGAATTTGCTAATAAAACTTTGCAAGTTTTTTTGGGTCCCTCTGACATTTGTCATTCCTTTTTAACCATGGGCATCTTGGGAGCTCCCTTCTGCTTTGGAGTGGGATGTGCCAGACCCAAAGGAAGAGGCTGGAGGAGCAGTGCTGCCCTACCTCCACGTGGCCCTCTCCAGCAGATCCTATTCCACTTGTTATGGGTGTCTGGGACACTGGCAGCACGTTAACTCCTCGTTTCCCAGGTTTCTGCAGCACCTCCAAGTTCTGCTTTCACAGGATTCGGAAAATCGAACAGACACAGAAGACAATGTGGGAAAATAAATGCAACACAACTTTAAGGCTCTGCAAAATTCAAACCACGTTCCAGGCTCCCCAGTGGTTTTGCAAATCCCAGTGAGGCTCCCACCCTTTAGGAATCCTGTCCTGGCGTTCAGCAACAGAGAGACTCAGGAGCTCTGGGATCCATCAGCAGGAATTAGCTGCCTCCCAGGCTTTGTGCCCTTTTATTTAGCTGCCACTGGATGAAGATGCTTCTTCTTACAGCCACAGGGGCAACACTTCCTTTCCCAAAGCATTTCACCAAGCAGTGGACAATTAACACCTTTAACTCCTTCCCACCCCAGTCCAAGGACTCTGGACTCCCAGCAGCCGCGGGATAACATTTCAGATATTTTCTCTCTGTTAGATAACTCTTCTTTGTAACACACATCCCACATCGCTCCGTGTCCATGTGGTTTCTCTCCCACGTGGGCTCACAGCCAGCCAGCAGCACCTCTGAGCTCCCAAACCTCCCCACATCTACAGGCACTGGTGGAAAATAACCCCCCAACCACCTCCCTTGGCCTGGGAGGGGCTCGGGGTGGCTGTTCCACAGCCTCCTCCTCCCACCGCGGTGGGGGACAGAGCTGGGGGTCCTGCCCCGCCCCGAGGGGGCTGAGGGGAGGGGGTTTATATGGAATGCATCACCGAGCCCCTGATGTCAGTGCAGGGCCAGCCAGCCAGCGGCAGCTGTGCCTCCTGCACGTGGCTTTCCTGATGCTTCACCAGGCTCCTCCTGAGCACAAACCTCTTCCTGCAGAGGGGACACTGGAAAAGGCCCTCCCCCGTGTGCCGCCGCTGGTGGTTGAGGAGGTAATCCTTCCTCCTGTAGGTTTTGTCACACTCGGAGCACTTGTAGGGCCTCTCTCCCGTGTGGGTTGTCTGGTGTCTGACCAGCCACGAGTGGCAAACGAAGCTTTTCCCGCAGTCGCTGCAAATGTAGGACTTGCCCCGGCCCTGGCTCTGCTGCTGGTGGACGGGGCTGCCCCGGGCCAGGGGGTGATCCCAGCAGGCTCCAGAGGTGTCCATGGGGAAGTTCTCCTCGTTTTCAGCAGGTTCCTCCCCGCCCAGGTCCTGGTCCCGCAGCCTGGCGGTGCCTGCGGGGGTCTGTCCGCACTCGGAGCGGGGCCCCGGGCAGGGGGCAGGGGCGGCTCCCGGCCCCATTCCCTTCTCCCCCAGCTGTGGGTGCAGCAGAGGGAACACCCTCTCACACGTGGGGCCTGGAAACATCTCCCCTGGTCCCTGAGGAGCCTGGGGCTGGTCCTGCTGCGGGGAGTTTCTCTCACACTTGGACACACACGGCCTCTTTTCCTGAGCACTGAAGAAATCCAAGTGCTCACCAAACCCTCGGCCGTACCCGTTCCCAATGCCAGTGCTGTTTGTTTCCATCAGTTCTGAGTTCCACTGGCCGTCCCATGGCATTCCGGGGCTGGGATCCTTGGGAAACCTTTCTCCTGGCCTTCCTGGTGCCCCTGAGTCACAGGTGGTGCTCTCAAAGCAATCTGCTGGAGGGTTCCTCTTCGTGTTTTCATCTGAAACAGAGAGATTTCAGAGTCTTTAAACTCAGGGAATGTCCCTTTTAACCCTTGGGAATGTCCCTCCCAGCCCACAGCCACATCATTAACACTGAGGGGGAGTACTTGTACTTCAGCATCCACTGAAACACAATCTCCAGGAAAACAGAAAGACTTTTTTCCAATTATATATTTTTAAATCTACATTAAAAAAAAATCACCGCTGCAACGTCTTAGATTCACCCTTTCACTCAGGTGCCTGAAGTGAGAGGTCTGAGCTCCCTGACAGAGGGGACACTGTCACACCTTGGTACTCCCTGTTCTGGTGCTAAAGCACCCTCTGGGTGCCTCAACCAAGGACTGTTGATTAGCACACTGTGAGAAAGAACAAGATCTGGCTGCAGAAGGGGCCTTGCAGAGATAGGGCAGCACTTTTCTGGGACAAACATCCTTGTAGTTCCTGGAGATAAGCACAGCAGGAATGAGGCCAAGGAATGGGCATGGACTGTAAAGGGGGATCAAGACATCCAAAGCCCACCAAAGCCTCTGATCCAAAAAGGCTTGAAAAAAATGGACTGTGCATGAGAACTAATTTGAATGGGAAGCGAGAAACCCATCAGGAGATGGGTCACCACTGACCATGTCCCCAGGTGCCACATCCACAGGGCTTTGAAATTCCCATTGGCCTTGGCTGGCCTTGGCCCATCAACCCCATGGATCCAGCCTGTCCAGATCCCTCTGTGGAGCCTTCCTGCCCTCCAGCAGATCCACACCCCACCCAACCTGGTGTCCTCTCCAAACTGCCCGAGGGTGGCCTCAATTCCCTTGTCCAGATGGTCGATAAAGACATTAAACAGAGCTGGCTCCAGCACTGAGCCCTGGGGACACCACTGGGGACCGGCCACCAGCTGATGTCACTCCCTTCCCCACCACGCTCTGGGCCCAGCCCTCAGCCAGGTTTTTATGCAGGTGAAAGCAGCACAAACTTGATCCTGTGCTGCCTGAGCACAGCTCTGGGCTTGCCTGAACACAAGCCCAAACCAGCACCTCAACAGCTTTAGGCCAGCTCAAGGAGGAAGGAGCCTCTTCAGCCGACAGAACCCGACATTTCTGTGCCCAAATATTAACCAGCAGACTGAGGTTTGTCCCATTTTTTTTGCTGCTTACACCACAGGGCTGTGACATCTCATATAGCATTAAAAAAATACTCTAAAGTAGATTTACTGCCCCTGAAATCCCAGCTGAAATCCATTCCTGACCTGTACCTGGATCTGCGGAGATTTCCTCCCTCTCCAAGTGCTGCTGCTCAGGGCAGCGCGGCTCCTCCTCTCGTTTAATCCACGATGAAACCTCCGTTGCATAAGTCTGAAATCCTGTTTGTTGGGGAGAATTTGCACAGCTGAGAAACTCCAGGGAAGATTCTGGAATTCAGGCACATCAGGGAAGACACAACACGAAGAGGGGTAATTCCTGCAGTGGGAGTGTTTGCCCTGGACTCCTCCTCACCTGTGGCAGGGTGTCTTGGAATGTCCTCACCCTGGGCGCCTGGCAGCTCCCTGGCATCCACCTCATTGTCTTTCCTGGCCTGACTGGATGCCTCAGGATCACAAAACGTTTGCTCTGCTAAAGGAGAAAATCCAGGAAAAGTGTGTTGTACCTCCATAAACTCAGGATTTCACAGGGCTGAAACCTGCTCTGGGTTTGGGCTTGGTTTCCCCCCCCCAAGCCAAGCTCCCATAAGCCCAGTTTCTTAAGGAAACCTGATGGAAAAGTCTAAAAATCCATACAATGCCAGTGGGGCCAACAGGCAGCCTTGATACCCTTTGTGAAGAGTGAGGAGAATCTGCAAAGCAGAGCAGTTTGTTTGTAAAACAAAGAGGCTCCAAGTGAGAGGACAAAGAACGGGGCCCTGGGCTGGGTGGCCTCCCCGAGGGGTCTGTGTGCTCACTCCTGTAACCAGGAAAATCCCAGAAGGGGAGGGAGGAGGGAAAGGGCACCTGAAGACTCTGGATCTGCAGGAACAGAGGCACTGCCAGAGGAGTGGAGCTGAGGAGCTGCTGCAGCTGCTCCAGTTCCCCAGAACAGCCAGATCCTGCCTCCATGCTCCAACCACACACTGGAACACTGACTTTGTCTCCTCCAAGTTAACCAGTTGTCCCCAGAAAGTGACTAATTTGCACTAAATATTTAACCAGTTTGGATTTATCGACTGGAGGGAAGCAAAGTAAGGAATTTAGGGGAGAGTGAAACACCTCCTGCTTGGATAAAACCCAGCCAAACTCCAAAAGGGCCGCGAGAAGGGAAAGGGGCAACACCAGCCCTCACCTGCTGGGGCTGCTGGCAAGTCTGCTCAACACTTCTAAAAGATCTGGAATACATGAAAAGAGGTGGGGGGAAAAAAAAACCCGCACAACTTGGAATTTAATCCCTCTGGTTCATTTTCTCTCCCAGGTATGCAGTTACTCACCTGGGCAGGGCTCTCCAGGAGCTTCTCCAGCCTCCTCCTCCTCCTGAACTGCAGCGCACAGCTCTTCCTCTTGCTTAATCTGGATTATGCTGTCTTCTGTCAATGGGAACCACTGTTATTTTAATTCCATACCCAATTAATTCCAATTCTCAGCCCATCCCAGGCAGAGCTGCTCTGTTCTAGAGAACATATTCCAGAGAACACCTCACCCCAGTTCCAGTTCCCACTGACCAAGGTCTCTTGAACAGACCTAAAGTGTTGGCTACAAAACCCTTAGCAGATATTTGAGCCTCAGAAACACATAAAACTGTCTGCAAGTGAAAACATGTTCTCCAGGGCCCCGGGAGAGGATGGAGCCAGTGCAATTCTTGTTCTTAAGTTTTGTTTCTTTCTTGGCACGACTGGAGTTCTGTCATTTCCTTTTCAGTCCCCCTCAGTGAAACCCATCACAGAAACACTCGTGAGAAGAGCGTTCTTAAAGAGTAACTCATGAAACTTATGGGAAAAAGAAAACTAAAGTCTGTAGAATTATTAAGGGAAAGCAGAAGGGCCCGTGCTCTGCACCTTTACAGAATCCTAGAATGGTTTGGGTTGGAAGGGACTTTAAAGCTCAT